CGCAACAGCTAAAAAAACTTACTCTGAAGGCACGAGGAGTGATCCATCGCAGCAATTGCCTGTCTCAGAAAAACATCAGATAAGCAACTGTAAGGAAGGGCATTTATCAACGCCAATTAGTGTTGATGTGAGAAACTACCTCTCCGATTACAAAAACTACTATTTTTACACATTTTGCGCAGCTAAATCAACATGGGTTCGATGTGTGCGCGTGAAGTTAGCCACTCCTCGTTCCGCTCTCTCTCACACACACACACACATCACACACATCAGAGGAAGAAAACGAATTATCACGTCGGGTATTTCAAAGGGAGGACTGGCAGTAGAGAAAATGATTCTTGCTCCGCTTCGTCATCCGACTCGCAGGATTCCTCAGCGTTCATCTTTCTATGTCGCCGTCACTCGAGTGAAAACGTTATCGCAGTTGTATCTCATGGCCCCCCTTACGAAAGAGTTTTTGGAGTATTTTACTCCAAGTCGTGTTTAGCTGGCAGAAACCCAAAGACTTCATGCAATTGAGGATCGAGCTGATTAAGAAACCATAATGCTGTGGAAAAATTGTTACAGGTCTTCTTTAAAATACTGTACTTTCTTAAGTTAGGGTACCAACTTGTTTTCAAGTTTTCGAAATTCGGGGATAGCCACTCAAATGAATGACTATCATTCTCGCTCGCTTTGTTGATGTCTTCTTCTAGACTGGAAGTCTTAATTAAATCGCAATTCTTCTCCTTTTTTTTCTTCTAAAAAGTCCTTCATTCCGCACTAGTTATTACTTTTTGAAAATACCGTAATATCCAGAGCTTCACCGGGCTTAGCACGGCATTAGTTCTGTAAGTCGCGTCAATACAGTACCTCTATTAATAAGCTGCGACACATGGACAGTTTCTGATTTATTGGCCGAACGTAAATAGTACGCACAATATTACTTTGCGAAAGATTAAATGGCAAAGCTCGCTATGTTAGCCAGCGAGGTCGAGAGCTCCAGCGAGCGACGCTTCTTCGAAGAGCGCGAGCAAGTGCGGGGGCTACTGCAGAAACTGGTGCAGACACAGCTCCCAACGCTACAAAGCGACTTAGACCATGAGTTCCTGGCCGCCCACGCTACCGTCTCTCAGATCGTACGCTGCTGTCGCCTCCTTCTCTTGACTCCTCCCCTAATTTTGCTCTGATGACAGCTGGACAGATACTTAGAACAGTCACATCTACTAGACCCTTATCTACACGAAATTGTGAACCCTTTAGTAACGGAAATTAAGCGTGTGATGACTGAGAGGACCCAACGAGCTAAGACCGACGATGCGGTGGCCTTCCCCTGCCAAGTGTACCGAAATCCGAGACTACACAAGCTATTCCAGATCATCTATCAACTCTGCAAGGTGCGCGGCTACAAGACTGTAGTCAAGCTTCTTCCCCACGAGGTGAGCGACTTTGAGCCGACGCTGCACTTGTTACAGTCACAGGATCGTACTGACCACTCTGCGTGGGAAACGCGCTACGTGCTGCTGCTGTGGCTCTCCATGCTGTGCCTGGTGCCATTTGATTTAAATACTATCGATTCGTCCTCTTCTAGTACCGGAGACAATTCCAATGGGGCAATCTCGCTAGTGTCCAAGATCGTTACACTCTGCAAGGATTATTTCAGTGACCCAGGAGCTACGCAGGTTGCGGCTGCAGTGTGCTTGTCGCGGCTATTGAGTCGACCGGATATGGAGCAGCTTTACTTGACTCAATTTCTTAATTGGGCGAATGACGAGCTCATCACTGCAGCTGAGGGCAACGATACGCGTGTGTTACAGCTCAAAGTGACTGGAATTATGCTCTGTTTGGCTCATATCACCAAGAACTCGCCACGCGAACAGCATATCGAATTCAGTCGCATCTATTTCGCTACTGTTATGAAGCTAGTGGCTCATCTTACAGAGAACAATTCGCGATCGGATCGTCCCAGCAGCAGCACGTTGCACCGTAAGCTCAGTGTGAAGCTGGTGCAACGTCTAGGACTTCTGTATTTGCCTCCAAAGGTGCGATCATGGCGATATAGCCGAGGGTTGCGATCACTTGAGCTCAATATGCAGTCCTTAGGACTGGCCACTAGTAACACTACCACGTCCACTTCAAGCCTTCCACAAGATTCTAACGATGCTGACGAGGATGACGCGTTTGAAGTGGTGGAGGAACTGGAGCAGATAGTTGAGGCGCTTTTGTGTGGATTGCGCGATAAAGGCACAGTCGTGCGGTGGTCCGCTGCAAAGGGGATCGGGCGGATCACTGGACGCTTGCCTTATGAGTTCGCAGACGATATAGTCCAGTCAGTACTCGAACTGTTCGTGGCAACGGAGGATGATGGGGCTTGGCATGGAGCGAGCTTGGCGCTTGCAGAACTGGCTCGTCGTGGTGTCTTACTACCGCAACGTCTTCCTGACGCAGTGGAGTGTGTGGCTAATGCTTTAAAGTACGACATTCGAAAGGGCACATACAGTATTGGCTCTCATGTGCGAGATGCTGCCTGTTATGCGTGCTGGTCGTTTGCGCGTGCTTATGAACCGTCACTGCTTTTGCCCTGGCTAAAACAGGCTCTTGCCCCAGCGATGCTAGTAAACTGTGTGTTTGATCGAGAGCTCAATTGTCGTCGAGCGGCGTCGGCAGCATTCCAGGAGAACGTGGGGCGACAGGGGCGGACGAACTTCCCGAACGGCATCGATTTGCTCACAAAAGCTGATTACTTTTCGGTGTCGAATCTACGTCATGCCTACTTGGATGTCAGCGTGTTCGTTGCAAAGTATTCCGAGTACCGATACGCATTGCTGGAAAATCTTATTGAGGCCAAGATTGTGCACTGGGACGTCCAAATCCGCACTCTTTCTGCTGCTGCACTGGGGGAAATAGGTGCATTGGATCCTCCCTATGCCATGACGCGGCTATTTCCGCGACTTGTGCGTTTTGCTCTAGCTCCTGATGCCGACGTGATTGTTCGACATGGCGCTGTGATTAGTATCGCCGAGTTGCTCGCGAATCTGGCGCACGTTCCAGTTTATATTGATGGAGAGCTACAAAAGAAGGTCAAGATGCTGCCCATTGAGGTTGGGAAACGGCGCCTATTCCGTGGCCGCGGCGGAGAGATGATTCGAGCTGCTGTTTGCAATTTGATCGAAGTGATATCGAATTCTCGCCTGAGTCTGGGCTTCGCTCATGTAAAGAAGTACCTGTCCATGCTGGAAGAATGCTTTGTTCACCCGAATGAAAGTGTGCGCGACGCAGCTATCGATGCGTTTGGCGCGTTTACGGCTCAGTATTGTCCTAAGGTAATTGAGAAGGGCAGCCCAGCTCATGTGAGATACATGCAGGAAATTGTCCCGCGTTATCTTAACTCCGGCATTCTGGTAGCCTCCAAGGAGAATGGAGTTTCGGCTCAAGTCCCGAACCCAAATGTGGCTGCAAGGCGAGGATTTTTACGCGCTATGGGGGTTGGTGCGAGGGAGCTTGTTCAACCGTTCATCAAGCAAGTCGTAGCTGCGGTGATTCAGTCTGCATCGCTTCAAGAGAGTCCAACTGAAGATGAGGATCCTGGAAGCCGAGTAGCCGCTGTTCAAGCACTAGTTGACCTCAGCTCGCGACCTCCTGGTGAGCTTGATCTTAACGGCATGGAAGAGTCTATAGTTCAGACGCTGGTCCGCTGTATCCATCAAGATTATCGTCTGGACGAGCGTGGAGATGTCGGTTCCTGGGTTCGCAAAGAAGCTATGTTGGGTCTCGAGAAGTTGCTTCTTGGTGAGACTACACACGCGCAAAACCAGTATGTTGGCTTGATTGGAGCGACAACGCAGACGGCCTACGGCCAAGGAGTTATTGTGGATGGGCTATCGGACCGGAAACACAAGATCGGAGAAACTATTAATGAAGCTGCGACTGACCCGTTATGCTTCGTCAAGTTCGAAAAACCGGCGTTAGGGTTTTACCACTTCAGCCCAGAGGGAGTGGGGCTTATCCACATGAAGAAACTGGCAGTGAATGCGAGTGGTAAATCCCAAATCGATGTCGAAGAGGATAATAAAATTCCTGACTTTGACACTCGCACGAAGCTCGCAGAACAGCAAATACCTTGGAGTCCAGATGCCGCAACGCAGTTTGCTCGACGCTTGTCTCCGGATCTCGTCAGCACAATTGTAAGCAGTGGGTTTTGCAATGACTACAGCTCGCTCACCAACTAATGCCTCTTGACTTTTGTGTCCATACAGTTCGGCTCGCTGGCGAAGCAACTGGCAGAGAAACTAGATAATATGAGGATGACAGCCGGAAGTATTTTATTCCGACTGCTACATTCAACTAATCCTCGCATTGACGGCATTCCAGATCGATTTCAGCTCGAGAAGTTCTTCCCGTCGTCACTTGTGGTGAACTGGTCCATGGCTCGTGATACTTTCCCGTTGGTTGTGAAGATGTTGGATATTCCAGAACTAACCGAGGAAGTTGCAGCAGGCCTCGTTGTTAGTGTGGGTGGTCTGACTGAAAGCGTAGTGAAGGCTTCCGAGGGCGCTCTATTCGAGTGGGTGCGTGCGCATTCTCAGACGAAAAAGTTTGGGCTGCTCACTCGATTCAGCTTTTTCTTGGTGACTCTACTGACACGCCATCATCAGGATGACCGCGTTACGATTCCTCTCATGAAGACAATGGCGTTGCTGTTGGAGTCGAATCTGTTGCGCTTTTTGCTCGAGAAGCGTCAAGTTGAAGACGACAGTGAAGTAACTACGGCAGACTTTGGAGAACGATTGTACTCAGCGCTTCGTGACGAAATTCAGAAGTGCACTGCAGTTCCAAAGCTCAGTGCTGCGATAAGTGTGCTAATCGGCTTACTTCCTAGCGACCCTGGGACGGAATCGAAGACCTTGCGGGCTCTGGTGCTTTTCCTGGGACACAAGTTCCCCAAGGTTCGAAAAATGACTGCGGAGAAACTTTACACCCGATTGCTTCTTCAAGACGAGGTTATCGAGGAGGAAAAGGTTAATGCTGCTGATGTTGAGTGCTTCCTCTCCTTGTGCTAAGTTGAATTTTATCATGTAGTACGATACGGTGGTCGAGATCTTGAGTGAAACAGCGTGGGACGGCTCGGTAAGTCATGTCACCATCATTTTCTACGCAGAGCAACAAGCTAATATCCGGATTTCCGTGGATTTAACAGATTTCTCAGGTGCTCTCTGCTCGAAATGAGCTGTTAGAACTCTTGGGCATGGACCTGCCCTCGAAGAAACTGTACGTTTACTGTGCTATTGAAATAGTTTGTGTTATCTTTCCCACCCTACTCACATCAATGTAGGCCTGACCTCGCAGAAGCGAGGGCTGCAACAGCTACACAAGAAGGCACAAGTTACAAAAATCTCATCAAGGAAATGGGCTATTAGCAAGTTTTATCCAGGAGAAAAAGAGCGCTCGCATACTTAAACAGACGTCGCCGATAACATCATCCCACCTACGTCTCAAATTTGTGCTTGCATTCTCCAATGACTGTGGTCGTATATGTCACCTTGACTCGACCACCTGTTGCACCTTCACTGAGGTAGATGAAAAGGTTCATCGTAAACCACGTGAACACCGGACTCCAAGACTTCTTTTCCAGTTCCTTGATCACTCCCGTCGGCTTCTGTGTCGCTGTACCTCTGATGCGCTCAAATACTTGACCCCACGTGTATTTCTTGCCAGTCGTACCCAGGTACATGTTGAGAAGATCTTGCTGCAGCTCATCCACACGAGGTCCCGAGAACAGCAGCCCTAACTCTGTGTCATTCGGGCGTGCACTCAAACTGCGGTCAGCCAGATTCGAAGACGACCTAAGTGCGTACTTCCCGTCCACAATGAGGATGTTGGAATGCACCTTGATCAACACACCGTCATGCTCGAGACGACCCACCTGAAGGTGCTGCCACAGCTCTTCTGACGTAAGACCGTAAGCCGACGCACAATCCTCTAATTGCCCCAGTGACCACTGAATGGAAAGCATGCAGTAGGTGCGAGCCAGGAATGATGGTTCGTCTTTCTGAGCTGAATTTGTCAAGATAAGCGCGTAGAAGGGCTCGCGTTTCCGGCAAGCTTGGCAAATGCGCGCAACGATGGCAGGACATATTCGGTTGTGCTGCAGTGAGCCGCCTGAAATCATAATTTGGCTCTCTAACTGCACAGAATACTTGGCATTCATGATCATGTTGACCATGCAGTTCTCTTCTCTCCAGCCACCCGACACCAACGGGAATGGCGGGGATTCCATAAAGTGGTCATAATGACGCTTGGTCACTGCTGGTTCGTGATTAGCGCGGATCCATTTCACCATTTCCGGCGTGCAGCGGCAGACAACACTCAACTCGTGCCAGTAGTACCCAAGGTGGTTCTTACGTAGCCAGCCCTCACGCTCCGTATTTACATCACATCCAGTAACCATAATGGTTTCCTCGTCAATACACAGATACTTTTGGTGATGGAAGGCATACCTCGAGTTGTTGGACAGATAGCGCGTAAACCAACTGGGACCCAAATCACTAACAGAGCAAGCAAAGTGCACTTCAGGCGGCAAAATGCGACGCAGATCAGCGATCGAGTTGGTTCCGTAGTCACGCACGGGATTGTACAAGATGTGCACGTCTACACCTCTCTCCACAGCGTCGCGTACCAGCGATACAAACGTATTGTCCACATTTTCCTCATTGATAGTGTGGAGGACCTGGGTGAAGTCGCAGAGAAATGTCGAGTAGTAAATTGATTTACGTGCGGACACCAGAAGCTCCACGATCGCCTCTTGACACTCCCAGAAGTCACGACACACGCGTAGCTCGCTTGACTTGGATCCGTCACTATCGCTGACCCATTTCATGTGCTCAAACTTAAAATCCGTCTCGAACCTTTTGTTGTCTTTACTCTTTCGGTCCAGCAATTCATCCATCGGTCGATCCACCGCCTTGACAACATTTGATCGTCGCGCGTCTCCGTTGATGCTCTCTGAGTCGACCTTGACGAGTAGAACGCACACACCACAGATCGTGATCATGATGCCGCCTAAGAAAAACACGAGTGCGTTGTAGCTGTAGCTGGCCATCTCGTTGTAGAAGATCATTCCACAGCCCATGTTGCCGATGATGATGAACGCTTGATACAGCGGGATGAACTTCAGTGTGCCAAAGAACTCGAGGCCTTTGTTCAAGAAGAAGAGCTGAGGCACCAGAGCACACGGGATGGCGATCACCATCAAGATGAAGAACGGGTTTACGAACACGAGCCAGTCCTGATGACTCAGGGCAGATTTGGCCACTTCAACGACCGATTTGGTAGCGAGTGAGGTGAATCCAGCCATTACCCCCGCACATGAGCTAAATGCTAGTAGTCCAACTGGGTGGCGCTGTAGTTTGTCCGTGTGCACACGTCGTAGCAGTAGCATGACACAAGCAAGCGCCATGACGGTGTATCCGATTGGGATCAAGGAGTCTCTCATCAACAGGCGGCCCAGAGACTGGAGTGTGTACGATATCTGAGGTACATTGGCCACTTGCGCAGCGTAGACATCAACACCGACGCCTAGAACAATCAGAGCGCTGGAAAGAAGATCGTAGACGCTGAAGTTCTCGTGTAGCACGAAGCGACCGAGAAGCGCGCTGTAAATGAGTGTGAGCGCCGCGAAGGGCGCCTGCACAGCCTGACCGAGGATACCGAGATTGATGACGGCCGATATTGTGCCCACAGCCAGAAGAAAGAGACCAGCCAGGAAAGCCGTCTCCATGGTGGCTGTACCCAATGTCGAGTTGCGAGCCACGCGAATATGCGCGAATTTCTGACAGCAATATCCACTGGCGGACAGAAAACTACCCAGCAGCGAGTTGAGAACACCCGCGTATAGGTAGGCGGTGAGATCCAAGTGAGGCCCCAACACCAGCAGCGCCAGCCAAGTCACAGTGCAGAAAACACTCAGGATCACGGCGAGCACGAACCAGCGCGGCAAACGGAAGGGCGGCAAGGGGGCAGACGGAGAGGACGAAACGGCGAGGCGAACATCACGCGACAGTAGCGGCGTCAGCTCGGAGGCCGAAGCCGTCGCCGTGGATGAAGGAGCCATCACACGCACCGTAAGAACCTTTGTGGCTGTAATCAGATTGATTTTTCGCCAATAGGAAGAGGAAGAAAAACTGCCAGCAACAAAAACGCAAAACACGGTAAGCTACGAATACGGTCACTTGTCGAGTTGCGCTACGAGGACACATGCGAGTCCGCACAGGCAAGTGGCGGCTTGTAGCAGTCCGGAATGTACTTAAGCTGGAACGAGTTGAATGCGAACTTTGTTTTGCCAGTATTCGCCAGCACATTGACGCGTCGAACACCACGTTCTCTCATCGCATTGCACAAGTGCACCCCTTGTTTCACATGGAAATGCTCCACCAGTAAACGAGAAGTCTCCAGTGTCACGGACATGGCCGTACGGTCTTTTCCACTCTTGCAACACGTCGTACGACCGGCCCCTAGACGGCGACAAATATCGCTGGACGCGATCAGAATGTTGACAAACTTTTTCTGCACATTCTCCGTGCGAATGTTGAGGCGCCCAGTGAGTGCTTCGATTTCCGCTTGAAGCTCTGACAGCTCGGCCAGATCTGCTACGCGCTTCTTGTCATCACCACCCGCACTAGCGGTAACTTGCGTGTGGTACACACGGAAATACCGCTGCAGCATCAGCACACTCTCAAAATTCAGCTCGTCCTGTAGACTGGAGTTGAGATAGTGGTTAGCCACCGACTGCATCTCGTTGATTCCTTGAGTAAACATCACTCCATGAAGTTTAATTGCGTGACCTTGCTGCAGCACGCCCGGAAGTTTTGCAAACACCTCCGGGGGGACAGCGAATGCCACCACAACGTGATCTCCAGTCGGTGTACTGGTCACACTAACACACTTGGACATCTCCATGTGAGGGTTGGCTTCTGCAGATTGGACCAATTGGAAGCTCACTACACTATTCAGCCACCGAACACCCTCCGACATGTCCTCCAGCATCCCCTTTTCAGCCCCAACAGTGCTCAGCAACGATTCAATGCTGAGCAAGTACCCAGTTGAGCAGGCCAGCTGCAAACGCTGACGGTGCAGCCCTCCACGAGTCGCAGCCAAACCCACCGCATTAAGGAATGAGGCTCCCGAGATTGCTAGCACTTGCGAGCGCACCACGTCTTCTCTCATTTCAACACGTTCACGTAGACGTGGGTCTGGGGGGCTCTGTGAATCCAACTGTTGCTGAAGACGACGCAGTCCGCCCTCTTTAAACCCCATAATATGCGCTGAAGCACAGCCGTGAGTGACTACCGAGTACACGAACTCAGACGTAGGCGACGTCTCGCTATCGCTGTCCTCCGATCCCGATCCATCATCCATCGACGTAGACGTTAAGCTTCCTCTTCGAGCCTGCTCGCTTCGATCTGCATCACCGGCGAGATGCACACGTCTTCCACGCACTAGATGGCAGTTCAGATTAGTGGCCATGAAAGACGTCGCCTTGTCCTTCTTCATGTTGCTACGTTTCAGACACCCAGTGATGCCCTGCTCCCGTCCATTCTCGAGCGACACAAACATCATCTCATATCGTTTGAGATTTTCTTGGTACGAGGCGTGGAGACGCATGTAATGAGCCATTTCGAGTTCCACGTCACGCTTCCGGTCTTCCACCTCTAGCACGCGAGTGCTGGAAGAGCCGGCCCCTGAGTTTGCAAGAATATGCAGCCTCATATCGTTGATAACTGTGCGAGCGTCGTCGATGCGAGTCACATTCCGCCGCTGAAGATACTTCAGATGAGCGACAGTCATCGAGACGGAGACGTAAGACGCAGATAATTCCTCGGACACAAGCACGTGGCTGGCTGTCGACGAGTTCATCTGACCACGCAACATCTCGCTGTAACTCAACCCCATCCTTAAGCTCATGGTCGAGCTAGACATGAGATCACCGGACTTGCGCTTCTCCATTGCCTGTGTGTCCACCAAGAAGTGATGTTTGGCGTACGTGTACGCGTGGCTCACATTGATACTGTGGCTGGGAGGAAGGAACCGGTCCAGAATAATATAGTAAAGCTGCTTGGATGCATCAGTTCGATGACACTCAAGCAGCATCGAAGACTCGCGCGAGAAAAGAACATCCAGAGCCGAAACTCGCACGAAACCGAGCGATTTTTGGTTTTCCAGTGACTCCGAAGAAGGATTCACCACTGAGAAGACTTCAAGTTGCAACATCGAGCGCGCTGAACGCGGCACGGAGAGCAAAGCATTGAAATCACGAGCGTAAAAGTCCCCACCACACGACCGCAGCGAAAGTGAACTCCGTATCTCCGTCCGTGAAATCTCCTCTGGTCGTTGTCCTTGGCGGATATTGAACAAAACCACCAGCATCTGTGGCACATCTTGAACGGCCTTGCTACCAATGGACACAGCCAATTCTACACTTGGACAGGGCTTGAAACCTGGCAAACTTAGACTCGGGGCACGAGGAGAATTGGACGAAGCCTGTGTCGTCTGTATCTCTCTCGCTGAGTGAGCTGGAGAGTGCATCGTTGACAGTCCATTGTCATCATAGGCACGAGATGCAACGGTAACCGATGCAGACTGAGTGAGAATGGACCCGGCGCTTGAAGATCGGTACAGTCGAGGCTTCCTCTTCATCACATCCGACGCAGCACCAGCCAGACTTAAGTTTTGTAGTTGTCTCGACGTCTTTATCTTTTTCTCGTTCTCCCGCACCGATCTGGAATCATTCGCAGCTTGTTGGATCACAGTCGAGTCGGTAGAGTAGCGCTTCATAGCGTTCATGCCACTGGCGAGCTGAGGACTCTCCATACGTGAGAAACTAGCACGATCCACATTGAGATCGTCTAGCATGGGTGTGCTCTCTGAGATACGAGCCTGGAGCTCCGTCCGGAACGATCCGCCTTCCGTTCGGCGATCGAACGACCCATTCATCGTCGCACGAGACGTCGATCTCACACGCTGCGCGATGCACCCATTGATACACGAGATCCAGGCCTCCATGCTTTCCTCTCCCTGTTCGGCAAACAGTGTAAGTTTGCGTCCTTCGTTCTCAATAGTGGAATCCGTCTTTTGGTGTCGGTTGCACTCTTGTGTTCTCGTCAATGGTGATCTCTCCCAGCTTCGCCAGCTCTTCAGCCGACGTATAGTAGCAAAGCACGGGGCGGTCTCGTCTCAAGATGAAAAAGCGACGTCTCCACGACTTCCAGAACGAGCCCTGCTTAACCAAGTAGCCGCTTGTGATGATGTCGGCGTCAGAGAACTGCTCCACATCGTTGCCGCTCATGTGCACCGTCTTATTCTTTTGATATGCACGCTTGCGCAGTCTGGCCATGGCTTTACTGCCGTCATGGGCGTGATAGAATTGGTCTTCAAAACGGCCACTCTCGGATACTTTAAGTTTGGGCTTCATGCGCTCCGTCATATCAGAGAGACGCGACCGGTCCGTTAGGTGGATCTTGGCTAAGCCATCGTCGGCCGGAATCGTGGGCGCCGCGTCCTTGACGATCTCCTTAAGTCCGCGCTTTGGTTTCTCGCTCTTATTCCTGCTAATTGCGGCGGGCGGGTCAGGTACAGACTGCGCGGGAAAGAGCATGGCTGGCAACGAGCGTGGCAGCTCCGGGGCAATAGTATCTGCAGTAGGAGGCGTCCGGATTTGGATCTGATTCGGCGCCTTGTTCTTCTGCTGTGCAATGGCTGCGGTCAGTGTGAGCGTCTTACCCGACGTCTTGGTCGGTGACGACGCGCTCTTACGGGGAGGTGGCGGAGGGTTGGCATTGGACTCCATCGACTTCAGCTCGAGGGCCAGGCCTATGCCGTCGTCGACTACTGGTACTGCGCCTGGGCTGCTTTCCTGTCAAACACCAAGTGACTCGAATAATCCATACGCTTGTGTGGCAAACGTTAATGTACCCAAACGGTGATTGTTTTGCCATTCGACATGTCGAAGATTGTGACGTCGGCAGGAGATGCCGCTGCTTACATGGAGCTGGTCGATCGCAGCAACGAATGCACCAAGCTGATCAAGGTGGGGAAGCTGAAGGAGGCTGAGAAGCTGCTACGTAACGTATTGGCGCGCAAGCCCGCGGCGGGTTTTGACGAGGTGTCGGTGGCTCTGACGCAGAACGAGTTGGGTGGTGTTCTGCGGCAACTGGGCGAGATGGACGAAGCACTTGAGCTTCTCACCAAGGCGCTCGAGGTACGCGACCGAGCGGATGAGGAAGCGGACATTATTACTGCTCTGCGGGATGGCAACATCACGCGCGACGAGATCGGGAAGGTGTATGAGGCCAAAGGCGACTGCGCCAACGCATTGGGGGTGCGGCAGCTAGGCAAGCGAATCTGTGGCAATGAGGCCTGCGAGGCGCTTGACTACGAAGAAGGTAAGCTGCAAGCTTGTAGCCGCTGTAGATGCGTATTTTACTGTGGCAAGACGTGCCAGCGCCAGGACTGGAAGAGCCGCCACAAGCCGCTGTGTGACACAGTGTGTCAACCATCCAAAGCGTGATGAGGGGCAGTTTTTATTTTATGAGAAGCGTCGATGAGACGGGATATAAGTTCCACATACATAGGTTCAGTATCTAAATAGCGTGGTAGCGGTGTTAACACTGAACTGGATGATACTCATCTGGCTGGAGTCCGCCGTGTTTGACACAACGTTAATACTACCGTCTTACCGCGCACCAGACGCCTAGAAAACGAGAGCATATATTTTTTAATGGCGCGAGGCCCTCGATTTGAACGATAAAACGAACCCCTAAAATGTAACCAGGTAAAGCGCCAGCGCCAGCCATTCTTAGCAGTCTTTACAGTCTTTCTTGCAAGCCTAAAACCAAGTTTGACCGCTCGTAACTTCCATCGCCATTCTCCAACATACCTTCTCTGCAGCTTTCTAAAAAGCACATACTTTCGCCGTCCGTGGTACGCGACTGGCGTCAATGTAACGGGGTACGTATCCCTAGGTGTACCCCTACCGTCTTATCCCGCATATAAGGCATATGTGCTGTAAATGAATACAACGCTGCTTGTGTGTTATATTCGTTTAGGAAGCCTATGTGCTGTACAACGGACAAATTGTTTGACTTTGAAGAAGCAAGTTTGTGGGTCCTGGAATCTGGCTTGGTCGTTTAGGCTTGACCCTCCTACGCGATCGGCGTGGGCTCAAACCGCCACGCTGTGCTTCTTGCTAAGAACAGCAAAGTCGTGACCTTTCACGCCTATCCGATAGTCTGCTAGAACAGCGAGTTTCTCGTGGATACAATAGCTACGTCGCTCAGCACTCATGGCTGTGTAAATTATAAAATAAGAGAATTAAAGCCAAGTAACAGCAGCAATGACAAGTTTGTTCAGAAGGGTGGTTGGTTGGTTGGGAGCTCTCCAGAATATTCATTGGTTGGTACAGCCTTGTGCTTTAAGTAGGTTTCAGCCACATGTGTTCTAATTAGGTAGGTGGTCAAATTGAGGTTTAAGCTAGATGTCGAGCGAATCCCGTATTTTATTTAGAACACATATGCCTTTTATGCGGGGTAGGACGGTAGCACGAGCAAAGCTAGCAGGTGTTTTGAATCCTCGTGGTCCCAACAGCGGAAGGGTACCAGGCACGGGTAAGCCTTTTACGAGATCACCGAGTGTTCAACACTCGGCTGGAAGAAATAAAAGGGAGGCAATTCAAGCACTCCCAGTCGTGCAAATAGGCAACAATAAGCCGTCACGTAAAACCTCCCGATAATAATCAGCCAATACACAAAGTCTCTTGGCCTTGCCGGATGAACCCTCGCTACAGAGCTTCGAGTTCACCGACAGGCATAACACACTCAAACAAGCTTGACCTGACGCTTACCTTGAAGCCGGACGTCGCTCTGTGTGCTTGAGTGGAAATTCTGTTCTGTATTTAAGCTTACCCTTTCGGGTCTATTCCTAATAAGAAGTCCTAATCAAGTATACAAATATCAAGTGAACAATGATCCGTTATGGATCTTCTTGCATGCCAAGCGTCGTCTGCACCGTCGCATGAGCATCTTTAACGGTCCGCGCCCTGTCCCAGACGGTGAACGTGCATTCCAATGGTCGCTGAGTCTTTCGCGAGCTCATCTCAACCGCCACTGAGGGTTCGTACCGTAGATGGTCCGCTGAATGCGAATCCAGCCAGTCCATTATTAATAATAAGGACAGCCTGGATTCAGTGACATATGCCCGTATCCAATGCTCGTTGAAAGCTCGGGAGTGACGCCGTCGAGTCCCTGGCACCTTGGCGTCTCCGTACATCACCTGACCGAGGGTTCGTCGCTTGAACATCTTGGGCGGTGTCACGTCTTTGTCGACGGGTGATAATCCGCAACTACAGAGAAATCACTGCACCACACTGCCCCCTAATTTTCTTTGACTACAAATTTTACAATCTACTTAGCGACGATGAATGACCGCGCAGGCGCTGACTCCAGCGCGGGTGACGAAGGAGCAACCAGACCACTGTCGGCCCCGCGACTTGCGCAACTGCTTGCTTGTTCGCGAGTCCAAGATATAGCAATGATTCAGGAGAAGTTAGTGGAGATGGAGGAGTACACGCGCAAGATGGCTGTAACGGGGTACGTAGCCCTAAGTGTACCCTGGTTACATGAAGTGTGACACTTCACACTTCAGGTGTATGACACGTCATACTCCGGGATATTTGGTACAAGGTACCAAGGTCGTTCAAAGCCAACCATTGGTCAAACGACATTGCATTTCTATAGGTAGCTTATAGTTTGTATTAAACCCAACCTTAACCTACCTATAAATATACTCAGTTTACACTCTATCTTATTTAGGTCACTTCGCTCTCTTTAACTAAAGAGGGGACCTGTGAACTGCCATTCACTTAGAGTTTGTATACTCTCGGAAAATAACTTCCTCTAGCGCAAGGTGCTGTGTGACCCCGTCACACTTGGTAGCACTAGTAGTCAATCCACGCCACCGCGGGTAGACTACCTGAACCTCTCCGAAGTTCGTTGCCATGGATAGGAACGACTTCTCCCATATGAACGACTCTCAGTTCGAGTCGGTTCGGAAGATGGCAGGCATCTTCGGGATGGAGGCCCTGCAGAGCCTGGTGGTATCAACACCGGCTGAGCAGCTCGAGCGCGTCAATGCATTCGACGCGTACGAGCAGGGCCTCATCGCGCATGTGCGGGAGAACCTGCAGGCTCCGGCGGCGGAAGCAAATCCGCCTCACCCGAAGCCAATACGGCTGAAGGTTAAGCCGTATGAAGGGAAGGAAGGCGAGAACCTTCACTTCTGGGTCCGAGAAGTAGAGCTCGCGATGGACGCGGCTCTAATCTCGACTGAGCAAATTCGTGTTGCTTTTGCACTCTCCAACCTTAGCGGTCGTGCTAAGAGTTGGGTGTACACACGGGAAGCAACATCCCCTGGATGTTTCACATCCTGGGCTCAGCTGTGCGAACAGCTCCGAGCCGCGTTCCTCCCGGCGAACTACGAGTACCGCCAGCGTTCGCGCTTCCTCTCGTGTAAACAAGGAAGGCGCGAGCTGCACGAGTATGTGCAAGAGATACGGGAGCTCACGGCGTCCCTAGTGGGACACCCACTCAGCGAACACATCAAGATGAATGTGTTCATGGACGGCCTTCGAGTGGGCCCCGCACGCACTCAGCTGTTCCGGGTGCAGTCAAGCACTCTTGAAGAGGCGATTCAAGTGGCTTTTCAAGAAGAGTACAGCCATAGCCAGGCGCGTACGCCGGCCTCAGCATGGCCTGGGAGTTCTTTGTCGGCTCCCGGCCGAACAAGCCCCAACGGACCAGTTCCCATGGAACTCGGGTCCGCCGAACAGCGTGACATCCGCTGCTTCGGCTGCGGGAAGATGGGCCACTTCAAGCGCGACTGTCCTGCGGAAAGACTCCGCAGACGGTCCTTCCCCAAGCCCGTCCTCAAGGGTCGCTGGCAGAAGCCAGGATCCCGGGGACAGGGGAACGCTGGGAACCAGTAGGGGCGGGGCGCCCTACTGGGGAAGAACTAAGTCTTCGTGATGGGTGCGCGGGTGGAGCGTACCACGGGGACTTAGCCCCTGAGAGTCTTCGCACTCTCGAATCGGCGAAGAGCAGCGGCGGGTTGCTCGTAGTACACGGATGTGTACGGGAATACGTTTATCCCTTTAGAATCTTGATCGATTTCTGGGGCGTCGAAGAATTTCGCACGTCGCCAGACGGTTGCTCGCAACAGCAACAAGCTGTCCGATGCTTTGAGAGAAAGCAAGGGCAACGGGACGGTGTCAGTGCGACTGGCCGACGGGAAGGTCGTCACTGTCCCCAACGTCCAAGTGGATCTGGCCGTCAAGTTTGAAGACTTTGACAGCCTCGAACAGTTCACTGTTCTCGATATGGATCCATATGATATGATCCTGGGCATGCCCTGGCTTGAGAAGCACGAGCCCTGGATCGACTGGCGAGGCAAGGCAATCGGTGCCAGCCGCCCTGCGCAGTCCGACAGAGCATTGGTGAGTCATGTTCCCACCTCTGTCAGGACCCGGGGCGCCCGCAAGGGCTGCCAGGGTACCAAAGCATTCGGCAGATGCTTGGGAGTCGTCGACGTATATGACGACTCCGAGGATGCTTGATGGTGGCAGCGCCCAGAAGAGGGGCTGGCCAAGTGGGTAACTTAGGTCCACAGGCGGATAACTTAGTTCCGCAGACAGCTGCAGCTGTCACGAACACTGAGAACAGCGTGTTCAGAGTGGGTAACAGAGCTCCACTCACGGTCGCCCAGACCTTAACTGAAGAGGAAGACGTCGGATACGCTTCCTGTGTGGGTAACACAGTGCCACACGCGGTCGCCCAGACCTTAACTGAAGAGGAAGGCGTTGAACACGCTTCCTGTGTGGGTACCACAGTACCACACGAGGCCACGAGTGCCTCGGATGTCGTAGCGCCGACATCCCTAGACGTGGGCAGCAAAGCCCGACGTCACGGTCGCCGTCGTCAACGACGCCGCCGCCGCCTCAAGTCGGATCCGAACTTCGTTCCGATCGACGTCGCTTCAAGCGACTCGGAGTCCAGGGCTCGGGCTCCTCCGACAAGGCCGGTGGAAGAGTGTTATCACATCTTCGATGGCGAGACCGGTTTACCCGTCAAGGCATCTGGTGTCCACTTGGAACCGTTGCCAGAGGTTGCAGAGATACTGCACCTCGAGGAAATGACGGCTGAGTCTTTCCTGACCAACCTCAAGGCTGGAGAGATTGCTGAGATGGTACTCATGAGACCTGAGACCACTCGGGAGGAGCTAAACTCCTCCTCTGTTTTGGACGAGAGCGTCCTGGAAGACCTGAACAAGCAGCGTCAGGCGCGCTTGGGTTCTGAGATTCTTAAGAACCCCAAGGATCCGGTGTATCCTTTGATGAAGGAGTATGCGGACGTGGTGAACAAACACCCACCGACCCAACTCCCACCGGATCGAGGTGTACGGCACGAGATTGATCTCGTGCCCGGCACAAA